ACCATAAGTTGTTATCATTCTTACTTACAATTTTAGCCTACACCCTATAAATAAATAAATATATATATATGGTTTAATCTATGGTGCATTTTTATATGATAGATATAATTGATATTTTTTATTAAACTTTTCTTTTTTTTTATTTCATTTAGAGTAAATTTATGTGAAGAGATGTGAGTTTGAGTGTGTTTTCACGGATGTCCATGTGTATGTAAAAGTGTGAAAATTGTGTATGGCCAGAGTACATCTACAGACCGAACTAATTGCAAGTGTGGCACGTGGTGCCTCGAGGAGAGCGTCGACCAGACTGCTTTTGTAGCGTCGAACGACGGCCGGTCGTCTTCTGGTGAGATTGACATTTGAGGTGAGCCCTGCTCGGACGACCGTGGACCCCCAATCCTCGTACCACTTGTTCGTCAACCCTCATCTCGACTCGGTCGTCGGGCGCTCCAGACGTCAGTTGGCAACCGGTCAGACTGTACCCTCCAGACGGAACGGCATGGGACATCTTGTCTGTATGTCCTACTCTCGCCTACTCATCAGTCGACAAGCATTCACACAATCGTACGCAATTTCGCGACCGAGCAGAGGCGTCGAGACCACTCCCTGCGTCGCCATTTCGCCCAGTTTCCATCGACACGCGGACAGCACGATGGCCGAGTCGAGAGAAGCTACTTCTCAAACAATTGACGCCTACTTGGCGTCGACTTGCGTACATGCATGGACGCGTATCTGAGCGTCTCTGCTTCCCTCTTCTCACATGTCCACATCTCGTCGTTCATTCGTAAGACTAACAAGTCAACCTCCACTTTTTATCATCACTTGCATGTGTCTGTCTGTCTGTCTGTCTGTCTGTCTGTGTGTGTCTTTGTATGTCTTTGTGTGTGGGAAAAAAGCGAGAAGAAGACACATTCACCTTCAATCCGGCCGCCCACCTCGAATTCCGCCTTCGCACCTACCCAAAGCGTAGTCCCACAAGCAAAAACATGCACACGTCAACACAAAAGCGCCTACCCCACCAGCACACACCAGACCGGCTCTTAGGCACTCGAGCAGCAGTTAATTAAAAGCATATTGTCCCCCGGACCTGGACAGCTGACCCCAGTCGCTCCCAGTCCGCCCCGGCCTTGTCACCACATGTACACATGTTCGCATCATCGAAGTAGGAAACACCTCCTCCCCACCCACCCACTAACCCATTCACACACACACACATACATACACATACACATACACACTTATCACTTATGCAAGCAAGGTGCATGCGCCCGAGGGCAGCGGGCCCTGGATACCTGCCTTGACGTCGACTTGTAAGTGAAGGTGCGCGACTCTTCTCAAAGTACCGCTTGATGGACAAGTTTTGAAGGCTATTTCCTGCCTTCACACGTATTCGCGTTGCTGGGCCCGACAGATTTCACGTCAACCGTCCGTCTTCCCGTTCAATCCTCTCCTCTCCTCTCCTCTTCTGCCCTGTCCTGTTCTGTCCTGTCCTGTCCTGTCCTGTCCTGTCCTGTCCCTGTCCGGTCTTGTCCTGTTCTGTACTGTTCTGTACTGTCCGATTTTCTGTTGGCCTGTACAGTCGTGGTCTGTATGGTACCAGCTGAGGCGGCAATAGGAGCCCACTGGCCCTCGCCTCATCGGGCTCGTCTGACCTTCGTGACGAAGCTGCCAATGCCTGTCTGCATGTGAGTCTTGACGAGCCCCTCGCGCCGTGGCCATGGGCTGGGGCCGGGAAAGTGGGCCGCTTTTTCACAGTTTTAACGCGAGCAGAACTGGTGCAAAATCAGCAAATAGTTGCACATACCCACGAGGGAATCGAACTCAAAACTGGCTGTACGTTGCGTCATCCGGAAATCGGACAGCCGTAGACTTTAGTTACCAAGTGGGACTGGGTTTCCATTCTGCAATGATTGTGTCGTGGTGACTTTCAGTGCATGGAATTCCAGGACGAAGGCATAAGCACACAATGAAACGTAAAAATGGCTGGAGAAAACATACAATTACAGACTCGAAGAAACGTTCGGTTTCGAGGGATGTCTTGTTTTCTACTTGTTGAGCTGACTTCCATTTCGAATAAAGTCATCCGTCGTATGACGAACATCATCAGAACATGGTATTATCACATGCACGTTACTTTTGTTATCCTACGTACTTTGAGCTATCAAGGCTGGTTTTGTGCACATGCGAACACATACGCAGACAGACGCACTCACATGCTTCGATGTTGACAAATCCTGCCTCATAAAAGAGGTCAGATGTAGAGTATATATACAACTTTTTGGGATGAGCTGGCGAGTTTTCTTGACTCGTTAACTTGGATTTAGTTGTAAAGATGATACCATTTCTGCTCGGATGCTGTTCGTCGTACGACGGACGAAAGCTTAGCACCTTTTCACCGGAATCGAAGCAGATTGCCTCGGAAACAGTCTCAGCATGAATGTTTGAGCAAAGTCAATCGACAGCTGGTCAAAAGGAATCGGCCGTCGTCTTCTGGTGGAACTGAC